GTCCAGAGAAGCCTAACTCGCTTTTTCATGGACACTCTGGCTGCAGCAGGGCGGGAGGGGGTTACAGACTCACCAGACACAGGAGCCTGTGGCCAGACTGAGGTCTTCTCCCTCGACTGTCCAGTCACTCCGTCTCCCATCCACGTCCTTCCTGTGCCTGGTGACTCGGCCCCAGAGCTGGGAGGAGGAGGCCGCGCGCCCTCCAGCCAAGCAGTGCAGTTGGGAGCCACCTAGCCACCATCCGATGAGCCTTTCCCACGCTGGACGGTTCCTATTGACTCGTCTCAGGACCTGTTCAGCGATCAGTGCATTCTGTCCAGGAATTGTCCTTCGGCTTGTGATGAGTGACAGGGGCACCATGTCCATGAAACGTGCCACCTGGCATGCGATTTGTGCTCCACAGAGTGGACACGCTGATTGCCTGCTTCCCTCGCTCCCTGGCCTCTTCCTGATAACGGTGCGTTTCTGACACAGGCGTACCCTGGGCTCGTCTTCCCTGGAAAAACATGTTAGAAAGGGCGCCCCATCTACGGTATCTAGAAGAGATTCATTTTTTCAAAGTTTGGATAAGAAGGAAACGCATGAGGAAGTGCAGTCAAGGCTCTGTGCCCAGCGCATGGGGTCCCCACATGCGCAGGGTCCTCACGCATGTGATTGTGACTCGGAGCTCAGAGCTGGGGGCCAGGGAGGGAGACGGGAGAGAGAAAACGCTGTTTTAACCGTTCAATTTATGTGTGTGTTTTTTTCAGATCGATGTGACATCAGAAAAAAGTAAGATTTTAAGTAAACTTAACTTTGTTTGAAAGCTGACTAAAGACATGCGAGCTAGTGGCCATTACTAACTACTGTAATCATTATGTTTTATATTCTGAGTCATCACTAACATGCATTTAGAAAGCGCTTGGCCAGTTAAATGATAGAGACATTAACTGTGACCTCATTGGCGGAGAAGCACTGTGATTCTCCTACACGCTCACCCTCTGTGACACCCTGCTCCCCGCTGCGCCCGCTTGTTGGGGCCCCATGTCTGTCCCTCTGTTAGCGTGCCATTGTCACCTCACCTCCACCACTGACACCACAGCATCACTCGCTGTGCAGCCAGCACTGAGCCCTCGAGAGCTCCTGATTCTATGGCCGCACCTGCGAATGTGATCCTGTCTCGCCGCCGCCGCCACCCCCCCCCCCGCACCCACTGTGGTGAAGCAGCCAAGCACCCGCTGTAGGCCGGGCCGCGCTCTGTGAGAGCTTTCCGGGGAGAGAGCCATGGGTTCCCACAGTAGAACCTCCGGGATTTCTAATCACACAGCGGTGTCGTCATGGAGCGCCTTTCACACAGGATGCGGGTCCCCACACCACCCAGGCAGAGGGAAGCAGTGCTGGGGCCTGCACCCGGCCCGCCCACCCGCGGAGCCACAGCATGCTAGCCTTGTAGGTCGCCGGCCTGTCCTGGCAGTTTGGGCTTCTTGTGCGGAAGAACCTGAATTTTTTAGTTTAATATATTTTTATTGATTTCAGAAAGGAAGGGAGAGGGAGAGAGAAACATCAATGATGAGAGAACCATTGATTGGCTCCCCCTGCATACCCCCTACTGGAGATGGAGCCCACAGCCCGGGCCTGTGCCCTGACCAGGAATCAAACCCTGACCTCCTGGTTCCTAGGTTGACGCTCAACCACTGAGCCACACTAGGTTGGCAATTTTTTAGGTTTTATTTATGTATTTATTTTTGCTTTTCTGCCCCATATGCTTCAGAAGAAAATCTATTTTTTTAATGTTCATTCATTTAAGATTGGTTTTGTTGAGCTACATTTCGAGGTGGTGCTTCCAAGAGGAGAAAACCTAGAGCCGGTTAACGTGGTCGTCTGGCCCTGAGCAGTGGTCTGAGGGCTTGGAACCAGTTATCTGAGCACACAGTAATGCCTTTCAGTGAGGCTCCTCACCCTCGTGTTACAGCAGCATTTGGGAAAAGGACACTTGAAATTCTGGATGTTTTCATTGGTTTATATTTGAGCAAATCTATATTGATACAAATTATTTTAATATATTTTTATAGATGCATATTCACAGAGACTGTCTTTTCAACAAATATTTATTTCACGAGAAGGCACTTTCGTTTATTGAAAAGATGATAGGTTAGATTACCTTCATTAATTCTTTGTTTTTAAAATATATTTTTACTGATTTCAGAGAGGAAGGGACACGTAAAGAGAGAGACATCACTGACGAGAGTGACTCGGTGATCGGCTGCCTCCTGCACGCCCCACACTGGGCATCGAGCCCACAACCCCAGGCTTGTGCCCCGACCGGGAATGGAACTGTGACCTGGTTCATAGATCGAGGCTCGGCCACTGAATCACGCGAGTGGGACAGTCCTTTTTTAAAGAGATTTCATTTTGCTCTGCCCTTTCCTGCTCAGAACCACTGTGTGCGTTTAAACGGCCAGTTTCTTTGTTCCTTAGATACAAACTTGGGGGTTAAAATTGAAGCCAAGCATCAGGCTCCATCGTGATGAAGAGAGGCGCCACATTGCTGTCACGCCTGGGTCCTCCCCGGCCCCTCGGTGCTGTGACCGTTTTAAGTTTTCAAATAGACTGATGTTTGGCTTTACTTTAGTTTAAAGCTGATTATTAAATAATGCAGCCGGGTGTAAAACAGTGTCCCTGCAGGGGCTGAGGAGGGGCTGTCCCTGGGCCATCCGCGAGCGGGCCCTGAGCGCTGCCCTGCCTGGGCCCTGCCGGCTGCGCCCTGAGCACCGCACCCGCAGCCAGTGCTGGGCGGTGGGTGGTGGCGGAGCTTCCCCACAGTCGGTCCGCTGTCTGTCCCTTCCCGACCGCCTCCTGCCTGCCTCCCCTCCCCCGCTCCGCTCTGCATGGAAATAACTTGGCTTACACAGCTGTGTGTGTCTGTGTGCGTGTCTCCGACTGGGGTTGCTACGCATCACGTTTTAACTCGACTCACAGATGTGTCCTCACCACGGTTGTCCTGTGGTTTTTCTTTTTTCCTTTCTTCCCTCCCCGGTCTTTCCTGTAAGCGTCTCAACAAGGAGGCGCTCCGCCCCAGACCCTGTGTCTCACTGTTAGGTGTGCATTTCCTTAGCTGGAAAGCCGGTGGGCAGCGGATTCAGAGACGTGGGGTTTAGTCATTGTGTGGCCGAACGGAGCCGGTTCCAGACTGCGTGCGGTCAGAGGCGCACAGCGAGCAGGAGCGCGCACCCTGCGTGGCTACGCCTGGCTTTCTGCCAGAGGAAATGGGCTCTGCAGTTCCTGGTGCTGCGTTCCCTCTCCTGTCTTTTTCTTTCCACATCCATCTGTGCCGTCTGAACAATCTTGAGATGCCTCGTGTGCTGTCCCCGCCTGTCTCTGTTGGTTTGTGACGCCATCGGCGTGTGTGTCGACGGCTGGTCTCAGCGCTGTTGTAAGTGTGGGTGTGCGACAAGTGAGGAGTGAAGCAAGTTATTTCCTGCTCATTTTCCTTTCAGTTCCCCTTAGCCTTGCTTTGCTTTGTCTCCTGAGACCTCGTGGATCCGCCACCCTGCCCATTTTGTTGTCCCTCCCACCGCGCCAGGAAGACCCCGTGTCCTTGGTCCTGGTTACAGTTGCCAATTTCTTGTCTGATTTCCATTTTACTTCCAATGCTTTCCATGCATATCCAAGACGATGAGACAGAGTCGACAGAAACATCTGTCCTGAAAAGCCAGCTGGTCACTGAGGCCCCGGCCCTGGCGAGCCCGGACCTGCTCTCGGAAGTCTCTGAGATGAAGCAGGGCCTGCTGAAGATGAGCGCCCTGCTGACCACAGACGCGGCCGACAGGGCGGGGCCGCTCAGGGACAAGGAGCCGGCCGGGCCCTCCCAGGAGGAGCCGGGGGAGCCCTTTGAAATCGTGGAGAAAGTGAAGGAGGACTTAGAGAAGGTGAACGAGATCCTGAGGGGCGGGTGCTCGGAGGGGGAGGGCCGTGAGCCGGGGCCCCAGCAGGACGAGGAGTGGGTAGTTGTCAGTGACGAGGAGATAGCGGAGGCCAAGCAGAGGGCGCCCCTGGAAGTCCCCGAGGTCCCCTGTGTGGAAGTGAGACTAGCGAGGGAGACCCCAGCCCAGGGACAGAAGGATGCCACGGGGCTGGTCAGCTACCTCATTGAGGACCTGAGCTCCTACACGGCCCCTCCCAAAGGGGCCCCGCAGCCAGGGCCCTGTGCGGCCGGGGCCGGGCGTGCTGGGAGCCAAGGGAAGGACGTTCCCCGAGATGGGGCGCAGAAGGCGCAGAAGGAGCGCAAGCCGGGCCTGGGCGTGAAGAAGCCGGCGCGGAGGAGGCCGAGAGAGGACCTGACGCAGAACGAGGAGGCCACGCAGGCCGGCACCGGGAAGCTGGGGCTGCGGAAGGGCAGCTCCGAGGAGTCCGCGGAGGAGGACGCGGGCTTGGCTCCGGGGCCGCAGCCCGCGGGAAAGGCCACGTCGCCGCTGGTGGAGGAGACGCCCATCGGCTCCATCAAGGACAAAGTGAAGGCCCTTCAGAAGCGGGTGGAAGACGAACAGAAAGGTCGAAGCAAGTTGCCCGTCAGAGTCAAGGGCAGAGAGGAGGTGCCCCGGAGGGCCAGCCCCAGGCTGCCACCAGGCGCCTCGCCCCCTCTGAAGTCCGAGAGACGGGCACCTGCCACCCCGGCCTCCAAGGCAGACAGACAGTCTTCCCTCGCCACCTCCGCCAAGTCCGACAGGCATCCTCCCGCATCACCACCGAGTAAAACGGACAGACCCTCGCCCGTGTCTCCCTCAACGAAGAACGACAGACCCTCGCCCGTGTCTCCCTCAACGAAAACCGACAGACACTCGCCCGTGTCTCCCTCAACGAAAACCGACAGACACTCGCCCGTGTCTCCCTCAACGAAAACCGACAGACACTCGCCCGTGTCTCCCTCAACGAAAACCGACAGACACTCGCCCGTGTCTCCCTCAACGAAAACCGACAGACACTCGCCCGTGTCTCCCTCAACGAAAACCGACAGACACTCGCCCGTGTCTCCCTCAACGAAAACCGACAGACACTCGCCCGTGTCTCCCTCAACGAAAACCGACAGACACTCGCCCGTGTCTCCCTCAACGAAAACCGACAGACACTCGCCCGTGACCCTCGCCTGCGTCCTTGTCAGGCAAAAACGGGAAACACTCACCTGTGTCACCTTCAGGCAGAGCGGACAGACACCCACCTGCGTCACCATCGGGAAGGACGGATAAACATGCACCCGCATCGCCGGGGAGGACAGACAAGCGCCTGCCCGTGTCCCCGGCGGCCAAGACGGAAAAGCACCCCCCAGGACCAGCCCCTGGGAAAGCAGAGAAGCGCCTCTCGGCGCCCCCGTCTGGGAAAACGGAAAAGGCAGCCCCCGTGTCCCCCACCTCAAGGACCGAGCGCATCGAGGAGACCATGTCCGTGCGGGAGTTGATGAAGGCCTTTCAGTCAGGTCAGGACCCGTCCAAACACAAGGCCGGACTCTTCGAGCACAAATCCCCCAAACCAAAGCCGCCGCAGGAAAAGGGCCGGGCTCGGGCAGAGAAAGAAAAGGGGCAGGGGCCCGCCCAGAGAGAGACCCAGACAACCGGGAGTCCGCCCCCCAAGCCTGGCCAGAGGTTCCCGGGAGCTGTGGCTGCAGGCGCCTCCGGGCCG